ATTATTTATTAAGATTATTTAAATAAATAAATACTTTTCTTATTCATGTCAACAAAAACTGTGGAATTATGTAGAAGGAAAAAAACACAACTCAAAAAAGTAACTCTAATGTACAATTAATAATGTTATAATTTATTTATTTTATATTATATTACTTAAAACTTTAATAAATATGTATCTATTTCAACAAAAACGTTTGAATTAACATAAAAATTTAAGTAGAAGAACATAACTCAATTAAAAAAAAATTTAAAAATCTAAAGTAAATTTTAAAGTTTACTTTAAGTAAAATAATATAACTCATATGCACTTACATTACAAACACAGGTGCCATTTCCAGATTCACATGTACCATAACCGTTACAAATCTTTCCAGACCAGCTAGGGCAAGCTAGAAAAACATACAAGACTGGTTAGAAAATTCATAATTTTAGTAGATACTTTCTTACCTAAAGCAACATAAAGTACATTTAACCATATCACCATACTTGACTTGTACAGGGCACTCATACTGTATGATCTGAAAAAGTGTTAGGACATTTACATGATATAGATATTAATTTATATTAAATATTTTACTCACATATCATAATAAGTTATATTTCATTAAAAAAAGCAATGGCATTTTCAAAACACTTTTTATGCCATTGTAACTCACGCAAGCACAGGGAGCCCCAGAAGCCCGGACAGCAGTGCTGGACTGTCGTAAAGCCCTGACAGCTATGAGAGCACCCTGACAGCTCTATCTGACGACTGCCGATTTCCACAACGTATCTGAAGCAGGAGTCAGAACACATTAGACACAAACTTTCTGAGCGAACAGAACGGGAAAGCCTGGATAATCACATACTTGCAGCTATCGGGGTTCTGGGTGATCTTCCCGAACCCTCGCGCGCAGACGACGGCGGCGGAAGCGGCGCAGGATGTGCAGGGAGTCTTGTGAAGGACTTTAACGGGCGCATCGCAGCGATTAGAAACGGCCTGGGAACGACAAAAGGTGACTCTAGAACAGACATTTCGCATCGCTACTGTGGACAAGTAACGTAAACCATTTATAAAAAACACACTACGAATCAAAAACGTTAGGGATTTACGCGAAAAACTATTCTTTCAACGCAAATCTACTCTGAGGTAAAGTGACATTTTCAAATGTTCAAATGTTTATACCACAGTATTTGTACTGTATACTTCATGACATTAAAATATCATGGTATTATCATGGCACACGTCAAAAGCGTGATAATATCATATTCATACCATATGTAGCCTACCATGAATTTTGGACATGTACCATAAGAGTATCATGATATAATTTAGTACTATCATTGGTTACCACTGGTTGTATCTAAAAACCTTGGTATATCCGTAGTATAAATCAAAGTATCATCTGATATCAGTACCATGGCACCACCTCTTTTTGTAAGGCATTTGTACAGTATTTCAAAGATAACCACTGTATTACCAAAGTATTATTTAAACCATATTTACAAAACCACACTAGGTCAGTAGCCTACCATGGTTCAGTAATTAATTACAAAAAAGTATACATAGGACTATGACTACTTCGATTTGTTATGGGTATGTACTTATGGAAGTATACCTTGGAGTACCATGTAAATACCATTATAATTTGTACTACTAAAGTCCAAATACCAAAATGGCATAGTATTTTTTAAATGCATATTCATATGCTATAGTATTTACATGGGCCTTACATAAATACCATGGTATTACCTCGGTTCATGTCCAAAAATCTTTTAACAAATTCTTTAAATACTGACTTAAAGATGTAAACAACCTCTTATCATGCAACTTTCCTGAATGTGTCTATCAAATAACTATAATATAAATCAAAGTACCATTGTATTATCATCTGATAACAGCAATGTACCATGGTGCCACCACTATTTTCCAGGCCCAGGAATTTACATAGTATTATACAATGGTATTACCATAGTACATGTCCAAAAAAGTATTATTAGTTATAAATTATACCACCCTTACAAAAGTGTAATGGGTCAGTACCATGGTACAGTGATCAATCACAAAAAAATGCCAAAAAGTAGACATGGTACCATGGCAGTATCGATTTGTTTTGGGCACTATGGTAGCACTTTTAAAGGCAATACCATTTTACTTTTTTAGTTCATATTCACATAGTATGAGATTTATATGTTTTTTCAATAAATACCATGGTATTACCACGGTACATGTCCAAAAAGCTTTTAACAAATCATTTAAAAAGTTACCTAAAGACGTAAGCGACCACTTTTCATGCAACTTACATGAATGTGTGAAGTCCATAGTACTGTGAGTCCCAAAATGAGAAGATAAGACATGTCTGCTTCCCCAAAGCCAGAAAAAAATCCAGAAAAGTCGTCAGATAAACATGTAACACAAACAGAACTGCCTCTCCTGAGACCGGCCACTATCTCCAG